TTAGTCTAGAATATTCTGGGGGTTTTGCAACAGCCAATAAAACACTTGTACCATTCCTTAACTTTTTTGCACATTTTGCAATATAGGTGTAAATATTTGTCACAAACTTTATACCCGTGGTTCCATCCTCTAAATATGCCACTTTTCGAAGTAATTTTGACTCTTTTATTTGTTAATGTGTTATTTGGATTTTTCATTGTTATATATCAGCAGAAAAAAATAATATACGTGGGTATTTTTTTTATAGCGATACAAACCTGTAAATAAATTATGCATGACAATAATGATAAACCTTGTAAGGATTCAGTACGTACAGATTATTTGATTTTTTTTCTTGTCGATTCTGTTACCGTTGTGTAGCATTAAATGTAATTCGATCTTTCTGACAACAAGGTAAATAAAATTCTTGGTGAATGAACGTATTTAAACATCAAATCACAAATATAACTTTATTAATTTGTAGATATATATGAAAATGGCCCGGGCCAGCTAAGTAGAAAATGAATATTGGAGTAGCAGTTATTTCAAGAGAGGAATTTTCCAGCTTCTTAAAGAGATACATAAACAATAAATATTTAATAAGTTACAAATGGCAAGACTAACATTAGATATTGTTAAAAAAAAATCGCATATAATAAAGTAGGTGAATGTCTCTCTGAAAGATATAGCAATAAAAAAACACCGAGCTTTGGAGATGCTCTAGAAATCATGAATGGACTGCACCTCTTACTAGAATACAATCATGGTGTCCACAATGCCCTGCAAATCGCCCTACCCGAACTTGAACTATTGCGGATATGCAAATACTTGCAGAAAAAAAGGAGGTACTTGCCTTGCAACTGAATATATTAATAAACAAGATCCTCTTGAATGGCAATGCGTAAAAGGACATAAATGGAAGGTTTCAGCTAAGAATGTTATTAAAGGAACTTGGTGCCAACGATGCCGATATCTTAATGTTGACATAGCAAATAGTATTGTACAAGAACGTGGTGACGAATGCCTTTCTACAGAATATGTCAATATAAATACTCCACTACTTTGGAGATGCTCTCGAGGTGATGAGTGGTCTACACCTCTTAATGGAATAAAGGTAGGTGGTGTGCACAATGTGCAGGAACCTTCCTTATAGCCTTATGGAAGCTAAAGAAATTGCACATAGCAGAGGAGGTAGGTGTCTTTCTACGGAATATATAAATCTTTGTGCTTCGATGCAATGGATGTGTGACAAAAGCCATAAGTGGTTTGCAAGTTTTAATGATATGAAGCATGCTAAATCATGGTGCCCATATTGCTTAAATAAACATGAAAAATTATGTCGTGGTGCATCTGGTCTGGTCCCGGTCCAGTCCCTAAAAAGTCTGGTACAGGACTAGTCGAAAACTAGTTCACCCACCTGTCAAAAACAAGTCCTACAGTAGTCCTACCCTAGCAGTTAATATGGATTTTATAATACATTTTATTACAAACTTTACTATTATTGATTGAAAAGTCAGCACCTAACTAATTTTAACTTAATTCACCAATTAAAGTACCTTTCATTGATTTTCCAATTAGCAAATTTTATTTAAAGTACCACCACTCAGAACATATTGTTATTGATTTACATTTATCAAATTTTATTTAATATGTCAAAAATGACATTTTATTCATATCATGTGCGAGCTGGACTGGTTTTGGGCCAGTACTGAACTAGTCTCTATCTCTTAATATGTAAACTAACACAGGTAAATTTTTCTGCATTTTTGTACTTTTTAGCTCTGATCTATTTTTTTAAAATGCTAAAATATCTAAATAAAACTTGGTACAATTATATTTGAAAATAAGGATTACTATTTGCAAAATTAATTTTTATAGTATAAGAAAAAAGTTTAGGTTGTTTATAAGCTAAAAATAGACAAGTTTGAAAAAAATTTTTAATCAAAAAAATTATTTATAAATTCTTGACAAACTTTTTAAATATTAATTTTAAATATATAATTCTTAAAACAATATTATAGTTTATTTAAAGGATTACAACTTTTATTATTACACTTTTAGTAATTTATTAATAAAACTTTATTTAAAAGCAAAAAAAATTTTTATAGGTAAAAAAAATATAAATTTTTTTCTATATATTAATAAATAACAAATAAATTTAAATCCAATGATTAAAAATAGTTGTAAAACAGTTGCCTCTAGCAATAATATCTTAAAACTAGTATCTAAAATTGTTAAACAGATATTGTATAGAAGAATTCGATTTTTCTTTATTAATTACTAAAAATAGTAAAATCTGAAATTGAACTAGAAATTGTTAACTCTTTAGCAAATCCAGATATTTCTTGAAAAAAAGTAAAGAAAAAAATAATTTTAAATGATACCACATTTAAGTTTTTATTTAGCTTTAAATCTTTATATAGGTTTGTCTTTAATAATACTGTATAATAATAACAAAAATTTTACTATGAATATGATAAAAGCTAAAAAGCATTATTAGTTATTATTATCAGAAATATCTCTATATAAATTGATAATATTCTTGATCTTATTATTTTTTTGTTTAAGTGTTAAAGTATTTGGTCTATTATTTATTACACTATAATATTCAACTAATAAAGTATAATCTATTTTATATCTATATACCAATTGTTATAAATATTAATACAGTTAAACCTCTATATATACATGCTCTATAAATACACACCCTCTATAATTGCACACTATATCTCAGTTCTAACCAATAATGACACTTATAAAATTACTCTTTATAAATATATACTCTCTATAAATACACACTTATAGTTAGTCTTAAGGGGTATATATATGGAGAGTTGACTATAGTAGGAATTATTCCTATCTCTATATACTTTAAAAACATAATCAGCTTCTATTTTTCTTAATATAAATAAAGTAATTCTATAGTAACTTAAGAATTAATTAAGAGATACAATATTAGTATTTCTATTTTTATTTTTTAACAAAAAAAAAAATTATTTAATATTGATTTCTAAATCCAGATAAGTAATTTTTTTGCTTATATTAGATTTTTTTTTTATTAAAAAGAATAATTAGAGTTCTTTTACTTTATCTTTATTTTTTGCATAACCAATACAATATCAAGAATAGTTAGAATTATACTATAATTTATAACTTGGTTTGTATCAATTAATATAAAGATTTTCTATATTTGCTAATTTTTTTTTTTAACCCTTTAACAGGTCTTGCTATAACTTAACCTCTTAGCTTTATTATATATTTCATAGTACAGTTAAACCTCTCTAAATGCACACCCTTAGAACCACACTTTAATAATATGCATATAGAGAATAATAAAAAAAAGTACATTTATGGAGGTCAAGTATATATTTGGGCTAGCATTTGAGCATGCATTTAGAGAGGGTGTGTACTTATAGAGGATGCACTTAGAGAGGTTTGACTGTAAATGCATATTTTAATTTCTAAGACTGCCATTTACCACTTCCAATGATTGGTCACCCCAAGAAGAGATCATTTATAATAGACTTAATCCAAATTTTTGTACAAATCTGGAAATTATAATAATATTTTGTTAAGTGCCATGCTGCACTGATCAAAAGATCCAGGTTCTAAAACAGCATGATACCCGGGTATATTGCACAACAAAGAACTTCTGTTGAAATCTAAAAAAATTCAAGGACATGTTCTTATTTATATGTGCACAAACTCACTGTAATGAAAAATAAACATAATCTGGATCCCTAATTTTAATACTACATCGGACGATCAGTCATTATCTTTAATCTCCTCCCAATTACAAATTCAGCCATAATGTGGTTTCTCATAGGAAGACTTTCGTATGATTGGCTGTTTAAATCAAATTAATTTTACATTATTTATACAGTTTAAAGTACTTTTTAAAAAAAACAAAACTACGAAGAATAAACAAAAAAGAAGTATATAGAAAGTTTTATTAGGGTTGTAGGACTCCACTATTAAAAAGTATCTCCATCACTTTTTGTTTTAGAGAAGTTAGCACGGTGATAACCTAATTCAATCTATCTTTAAGAAGTCGCTATTATGCTAACTTCTCTAAAACAAAAAGTGATGGAGATACTTTTTAATAGTGGAGTCCTACAACCCTAATAAAACTTTCTATATACTTCTTTTTTGTTTATTCTTCGTAGTTTTGTTTTTTTTTTAAAAAGTACTTTAAACTGTATAAATAATGTAAAATTAAATTGATTTAAACAGCCAATCATACAAAAGACTTCCTATGACTCTTTTTCCTTTTTTTGTCTATAATCATTTTATGAGTATTTTAACTAGATTAAAAACTCACTGGTCTAGTGCGACGGTTCCCCTTGTTAATCTAACAACCTCTTTAGAGTTACTCTGATTGGCCAAAATTTAAAATTCACGAATTTTCGGCAAAATCGTTATAAAGATCATTTAAATTAATTTCGATTAAACGAAATGATTGAACAGTTAGTCAAGTCAATAAATAAGGGTCGATTACAAAGACTATTAGTTCCTGGTTTTAATTTGGCATCACACATTTATTATTGTATTAAGAAACTATTTATCGTTATGCTATAAAAAATTAATACAACAAACTTATTTTGATTTCCGGTTCCTAACGATTGCATAATTGTACCTGGGTAGAGATTTTCTTGACGGGTACAATCTCTAATTTAAACTATTAAATATACAGTTAAACGGCCAAACGATTATACGATTAGGGTAGCACTGAAGATTTTCTTTATAAAATTTCCTAAAAAATAGGTCCAAGTTTCAGCATCGGCAAATTTTAGTATCAGCTTAACAGTTCAAGTCGCCGACTTGAGTCGAGTAAAGATTTTCATGATTCGTTGGTTTTTTAACCGAGCTTTATTTTTGCCTACTTTAATACGCACATACATTACAGCTAATCTTATTACCACAATTTACAAATAAGTTTAAATATTGATAACTAATAAAATATCGAAAGCTTTATACAAACAAAAAAAATTTTTTCTAAAAATCTATTGTTTAATATTTTATCAAAACCAACTTCTATTAGGTTTTCCAACTCTAACCACTTGGTCATTCTTTTTACTCCATATTAATTCCCTCGTTCTTTGTTCTTTATCAACTTCTTCGACTCTTTCACAAACATTGTCTAATGTCTCATCAAAGTCATCTTCAGAGACGATGTCTTTAAATAAATTTAGTAAAATTTTTGAATCAGCTCTAATATTTTGATGTTCATCAATCATAATAATATTATCATGATCCATCATTTCTATCCATTTTGGGTTTCCAGTAATTTTTCTGCCGTCATTTAGTTTAACAGAATTACTTTCAGATTTTACAATTTCACGAATTAATTTCCAAGCACATGAAGCATATTTTTGATCATCAAAAGCACTTTCTTCAAAATCAGGAATTAGACCTATTTGATTAATTATCCAAGTTCGTTCTTCATCTATTAAACTTTCAACTGTTGCTAATAGAGACAAAATAATATATATATATAAGAGCTATGACATACAATATTATACAGTATAATGCAATAGATACTAATAAAATAAAAATTTACCAGAAATGTCAGGTTCTCTGGCTAATTTATCAATATAGGAAAGACGACCACCAATTCGATCAACAATTTCTCTCAGGTATTCTTCAGATTCGTTTTTTCGTTTTGCTTTTAACAAGTCTACCGCCTCTTCCTTTTGTAATTCTCTTACTCTTATAACCTCCATTCGAGAAGCATCTCTCTCTTAGTTATAAATTACAAATGAGTAAGTACCGTATATTAAAATTTATACATAGATATATAAGAAATATTTACTCATGCGTTCGTGTGTTAAATAGTCATCGGTATTAAATATCATTGTCACAATCTTAGTAGCAGCCCATGATTCAGCACGTTGTTGTAATAATTCTAAAAGATCGTCACCTTCTTCGTCATCTTTAAGTGTATGAATGTTATTGATAACAAGAACTAATGGGCGACCACGTCTTTTAGAATATTTTATTGCAACTGCTTCTACCATATTTAAAGCTTTTTCAACATCAAGTAATGCAGAGCCTAAGATAAATCAAATGATATAATCATATATACATATATATATATATTATTATATACACATAGTTATATGAAATTACGGTATGTATAAAATTTTGAGGTTACCTCGTTCAGGAGCTTCTCTTGCAAAAAGCTGACCAACGTAATCTTCTCTATAAGTATATTTTAAAGCTTTACCCAATCTAACTTTAAAAATTTCATTATCTGAATGTGCATCAGTAAATACAACACCATATTGTTTAATTCTATCCATTGCATTTAAAATTAATTGAGTTTTTCCCGTTCCTCGTTCACCTACAATTAAAAAGTATTTTCCGGGAGCGCGACCTTCTACCACTTCACGAATTTGTTTTGTTTCCTCTCTTTTGAAGAATTCATCACCTGTTCTACTTTTTACTAACGGTGCAGGTTTTATGAACGCCAATTCTACTTGGTGAGCTTCGTTCCATTCGTACCTGGATAAATTTGAATTAGATTAATTGAAATTGAAATTAAAATAGATTTAAATAGTTTCTTTTTTTTCATTACTTACCATGCTTGATAAAATACACCACCAAGACCAACAGCAGCTAATCCCATTACAGTTGTCAATACAGCATCCATGACTCGAGGTGATAGAAATGATCGTTTCCTTTTTTCATTATTATTATCAGGGTACTTTTTTTTCGATTTCGGATTATTTTGCTCATCTAATGCAGTTTCAGCAGATTTTTCTACAATCGGTTGAAATGGATCTATCATTCACATAAAAAATAAAGTTTATCTATAGTTTAGAATTTCATTTAAGTGAGTTATTTTTTTATTTTTTTAAAATTTTTTTTTTTTAAACCAAATAAATTTAATTTGATTTACCGGGAAAAGGATCCCAAACACCCGCAGCATTAGTATCTTGATTTAAACCTCTTTTTAAAATTATTTGAGGTTGTTGTTTAGAAAAATTAATTTTAATCTTTGGATTATCATATACTAATTTGAATGAAGTTAAATTATTTTTAATCTTTGGATTATCATATACTAATTTGAATGAAGTTAAATTATTTTTATTGCTATAAAAACGAATAACTTTCTCTTTTTTTGTAAATGCGGTGTTATAAAGACGCAATTTTAATAATGATTTAATTGAATGAATTCGATTAATTTGATGCATTATAGAAAATTGTTTTCGAGGAAATTAAGAAATTGATGATTTTTTAACGAATTTATTGTAGAAAAAAGAATGTTCTGTTAACGCAGGAGACAAACAGTGTTACACGAATTTGTGACATAGAGCGAAAAAGTATTATAAAAAAATGGTCAAGTCTTTATTTTTTTAATTACGTACGTACATATATGTGTATCTGGTATGCAGACTTTTAATATGATTGTAATTCTAAGTAGGTACGTACGTACGCATGTTCTGGTAAATTGATTTTTTTTTTAGTCATTCTCTTTAAATTTATAGTCTTTTTTGTTATGTATGCATGCAGTTAATAATAAATTGTAAAGGGTAATGCCCGATAACGATTAAATTCGAATAATCATTGCTATAAATGAAATCTCATTGTATTAGGGGTGGCTTAGCTACTAAGCAAAAACGTTCGATACATCATTATTCTAAATTGACAACAATGGTTAATTTGATTTAGGATAGGGTTACAAGCATCCTGATTTGTTGATCAGGGTTAGCACGGATTTAGGAGTTAGAAAATGACGCAGGTTTAATTTTAAATTCTATATTCTGAGATCAGCAGGATATTGGACGTCGGATAGTAACCGATTTTAACTCGTATTTTCACCTATTGAAAGGATTTCGGTTCCGATATGAACGTCAGATATCCGATATTTCTATCAAAAAGTATTGGATATTTGTTATGCAGATGTCCTCCCGATAGGTGAAAATACGAGACAAAAATCGGATAGCTATTAGACATATCGAGTCCGATATTCTTCTGATACTTCTCAGAAATGGTATATAAATTTTAAAATTCGACCTGTGCTATAATTTAAATTGTTGGGATCATCTGACCTTTTAAATTTCACCTGAGTTGTAGAGTTGATTTATACTGAGATTTCCCTTTAATCACTTATTTTTAGATGATTTTTATGTAGAAATTTCAATCAAGAATGATGTAAGCTAGAGCCAACAAAACCACAATGACAACAATAACAATGATTTTAGAAAGTATATATTGATATGTAAAAATATTTATTATATGTGATTTAGTATATATATATTTACTCTAATAATAAATTGTTATTGGGCAGATTATAGTCGCAGATGCCTTATAACTATTAATATATATGATAAAAATTACAATATTAAAATTCTTTAATAAGAAAGTTATTACAGGTTAACTCTCTATAATGAATTGAGGATATCATCAATAAAAGACAGATTGACCATAGATAAAATCTTGCTTAAACATGTTATATATATATATATTTAATTCATTCAACATGATTTAATTCACTAAAATTCAATTCAGATCAGATTGGGTTCTGATCCTATCTCCCAACCATCATATACTTTGGATTGGCTCCGGACTCCGGACCAGGCCGAGGTTTAATTCGATTTCACACTAATCCTATGATCAAAGCGGGTTATAAAATATTTAGAACATATAATTTTAAATTATGTTTGGACATTGAACATACTGTATACTTGCTAGTAAAACCCAGACAAATCCCAAACTTCGACAATTGCAATAGGATGCCGAGTAGGCGTACTTTAAAAAAATTACATTTAAAAAATATATTATACACTATAACATGAGAATATACTGTATACTATTTATTTAAATAAATATATATCAATTTATAAATAAAGTTTTTGAGACATTAATTGGCCAGGGTTTGAGATTTGAGCGGCATGTATAATTGGACATTAAAATGTACAACACTGGGTGCAAACATTTGGAAGGTCAGGTGTAGCTACGCGTAACATTAGGTGAGTCAATAATAATCAAATATATATATACATATACACGGTATATATATTGGAATACTGAACAAAAGACAACTCAACAAGAAAGCCATTTTACAAACAATTATTTTGCTGATAAATTTTTTATCCTACTCATAACCCTAAAATAGAATAATTAATGAAATTGGTAAAATTGCTTTCTGGAAATTGTGATGCTTTGACAAAATGGTTTACAAAAAAAATGCACAGATATGTGGTAATGCTGCACCGTTTGTAAACAAGAGTAAAAATAAAATAAAATAAATAAAAATGGATGATCATCTCTGCACGTAAATAAGCTGGATTCGCTGAATATTGATATGGGTGTCGACAAGCGAAAACAGGGAATTGTGAGTTTTCCGAAATTATTTTACAAATCAAACCCCGAAAAATGTGATTTAACACACCATATAATTTATGTTGTGCTTAATTTAAATTTATCAGGAATCGAATCAGAAAGCGGAGCTAGCAAAAATCGAAATTCCCTGTTTTCGCTTGTCAACACCCAAATCATAACTTATCACGTTTGTTAAATTTTTACCTCAAAACTCTAAATACAAAATTAATTGTGTTTTAATTTACAATACAAAAAATTTAAACACAAGGCTGTCTGTAAAATATACATTATTACGTGTAAAATACTAAAACACAAAATACACATCAATTTTTGTATTTTAATGTAGTTTTCATATCCAAAATTCATATATTGTTATTCTATATGATAATTCTTACAAGAAAGTCGAAAACAAATACTTAATAAGAAGCCTTATCACTTTTTCTAATATACCAATAAGCACTCTCAAAAAGTAAGCACTTCTTATATAATCAAGTCATTTAGATTATTAGGTGAGATTATACTAGAGATGTTATCCTGCTCCAACCGGCTAGTTTGTGCTCAAAAACCCATTTGAACACTGTTTCAAAGCACATATGTAAAGCTGGTTATTGAACTCAGTTTATACAAATATATTAACAATTATAAGTTATTAATAATAAAACCTGCTATTTAACGTTATTATTAATTATTAGAGCAAAATATATCGATATGACTTTTACATTTATAAAATATACATATTTATGAATTTACAATATTCATTGCGCTTATTGCTATTATTTATTTGTTGACCTATACAATAATACCAGTTTAATAATAACCTTCTACACAATCGATGATACCTGATTCGTACCATGTTTTTAAGCAGAGGCTTGCAGATGCATTTTCTTCAGATAGTTGATTATGGATCAGATTAATTGTATTTTTGGCTTTAGAGAATATTTCTTCACTAGAAACAGAAGTAGCTTGTACAACCAAATAGTCACGGGCCATTCTTGCTAGTCCAGAATAGCATACATCAGCTGATCTTGTTTTCCAGAAGTCTAATGGATTACAATTTTTCTCGATAGCCATAAGGTATTCTTCCAGAACATTGGAAGTACTCTTTAACTTGTTATCATGATGTTTTCTAAAATAATTTCTTGGGGAGTCTTTATCATCTTCAGTAATAGATGTACCAAATTCTTTATACTGTGCATAAGCACTATATAATAGGTTATGTATATTTATTGCTGTTTCATTATCAAATGATGATAATTTCATATTTGGGTCTAATACAACTAACATGTAGCAACAAGTTCGAAGAATATTCTAATAATCATTAAGCTTCTTGTGCATTCATTGTGCAATTTAATTTTTTATTAGAATTTCACTATATAATGCATCATGTAGAATACTTAAAATAGTTGAAAATATCATATAGGGGGCCTCACAGCAAAAGGTGGTGATAGGCTAAAAAATTTTTT